TATCATTTACCATTTAATTCTTATTGTAACTTTTTTTTTAAATTCCAAATTGTTATTATTTGTATTTAATATTGTTTTTTTTTTAATCTTAATAGCTTATTATGAATGACATTAATTTCAGTAATTTTGTTATTACCATTTAATATCAGTTATTGTAATTTGGTTATCATTTACCATTTAATCTTATTGTAAGTTTGTTGTATTTAAATACCAAATTGTTATTATTTGATAAATTTAATGATTGTGTCGTTTTTTTAATCTTCATCAGCTTATCGCATTAACTTGAAGTAATGCAAATTAAAATACAAGAATTATTATTGTAAACAATACATCATTCATCAATTTTACTTGACAAAGAGGACATGTTTGTGTCTTGGGTTTCTACAATGGCCACATCTTCTGTCTTGTCTAGATCTTTCTCGAATATCCATATCGCAATGAATTCGATTGGATTTTGGACTACCACGCTCCCTCAATAAACTCGGATTTAGTACAATTAGAAGCCAATCTTGAACCTCATCAGGGTCTTTGTCATTACCTATGGGGGAAACTCAAATTCGTATACCTTAAAAACTTCAGATAGTAGGTATACGGGATCCACAAAATGGTTATAGTCTTGACTTGTATACGAGCAAGCTGCTATCACACGAGAGCATGGATACTTCAGAGCTTGAAAAAACCCGCAGTCACACGTTCTGTCCCTTAGATTTACTCTTAACGACACAGCTTCAATCCCTTAAAGAGGTCGCGGCAACTCTGTGACACAAAAAATTTCATGCCTTCTAGAGAAGATTGTTACAGACATTCCATTTGATGCAGCAATTTTTTTCTGTAGATCTGCAACTAATCTAGGGTGATAGACATGACTGCCTTGCATCCAAGTTTGAGCTTGTCCACCAAACTTCGCAAAAAGCACCCCCAAACGAAAATATATAGTTTTTACCAAAGCCGCTACAAGTAAGTGATGTGCATGCTTTAAGGTTGAATTGATTGCCTCAGCCAAGTTGGTCGTCATGTGTCCATATCGATATCCACCATCATATGTGTTCATCCACATTTCTTTATCGATGAGGCTGATGTAATCGTATCCTTCCTCGTTCTTCGCCCGCAAATCTTGAAGCATTGATTCAAACGTTCGAGGAAGTAGTTCGTAACCTGATCAAAAAATGTATAACTTACTAACTTGCTTTCTTTGCAAAATTAAAATGATCAAAAATGTATAACTTACTAACTTGCTTTCACTTACCCATGCGCACAATTAATTGACGCTCATCATTCTTCTTGTACCTTCCATGATAGTTCGTAGCAATGTGTCGGAGACAATACCTATATTGGACAAAGGGTGGTTGCCACATTGGACCCAAAAACTCCATTGCTGCTTTGATCCCAGCTCCGCGATCTGAAATGACACAAATTTTTTCCCTCGTGATAACATGTGTACGTAAATTTCGGAGGAAAAAAGCCCAACCACTGGGTCCTAGGGCCGACGCAACATGACGCTTTGATACCATTAAATGTAACACCCTAAACCTAAATAGGCCTAAAATATCACAATGGGCCATCGATGCAACCCTTGATTTTTAAAATATGATTATTTTATTTCAAAGATACTTAATGGTATCATTATCTGAATGCAATATTGATTATATTATGCATTATTTGAATGTAACACTACTAGTACATGGTCTCACATAACTATCAGACACTAGTTAACTGATGGAACCCAATGTTATATAACATCAGTGAAATTCTCACTAAGCTGTTGAAATGATCTCCTGGTCCTCACATAAACATCAGGTAGATTATGAAAGGGTAACTCGGTGTCACATAGCATCGGTACAATTCTCGATCAACTGATACATTGGCTCAGTCTCACATAGCCATCAAGTCAAGCTTTAAATATATTTATTGTACTGGGTTGATGCAACTATACATACATATCTAAGGGCTCAAAGGCCTCACAACACTAACATTGCTAACCCATTCCTCGTGAATGTTCGAGCCTAGTGCTCTAGTTATCCCCTAAAGTGCCTCGCGCATTAACAATGCCCCACTAAGGAAACTAAGGTAGCATGACTACACTCTAGCGTAGCTAGACACACTAATGTGAGGTCATCCCCTCACTAACTGTTATCGCACTCGTTCTCTTACCTAGAATATTATGCAAGGGTTTATTGGTCTGTTACTTTTATTAGTTTATTAAGTGGCTATATTTTAGTTGTTCGTTACTTAAAGACATTTTATTCATTCTCTGTCATTAGATAAATATATACACGTTTCATGATTTTACAATGATTATTGTATTTGTTATTCGTTGTCTGTAGCACTAGCTAGCCCGATACTTGACTCGGATTCATTTCTGGGTAGTGTCACTCTAATCACTCTTATCGTACTTCTTTCCAATACCCCTTGAATTGGAGGACCGACTTATACGTTTTCGGTTCAGTAACGTTCTCAAAGCACACGATTTCTTATATTACTAAATCTAACTAATTTATCGTGTCGCATTTTGGTACATTCTCTGTAACAATCCTCATTCTTAATTATTTGATACGTGCTCGACTGAAGACACTTTGACGTATTATGCTTAGTATGGTTACATCGATTATAACCCACTTTTAGGAGTGTTCTTAGGTATATTTGGTCATTTATGTCCCCCACATACTAAGTTCTACCATTATAAATCATCCTTAGCTCTTACGAGCTAATAAGGGTAGTTTGGTAATTTCAGCCCGTAATGATGTTTTAGTAACCTCCCATACTCGAGCTAGATGCTCGATCTCAATCGATATTAAACTCCTCACTCTTGAGTCTATCTGACACCTTGAAGTCACTCATCCACTTTGGGTATTGATATCAAGCTTTCGGTATGGATACCAAATCTTATGTATGGATACCAACTCATTTGGTATGGATATCAGTCCTCTGATATGAATACTAGTTCATCCGGTTTGGATACCCACGATATCAATATCGAGCATCTGATATCGATACCAAGCATCCAGTATCGGTACCAATCATCTGATATCGATACTACAACCTCATTATCGATACCAAGGGATGAGTATCAATACTCCTCTCCTCAATATCGATATTCCCTGTTAAAATTGTACATATTTCATTCCAATTCATCCAATATTGATACTCGATCTCATAAATATCTTATTTAAGCTCAGAAAACACCCAAAAATCATCCCCAAATGTCTTAGTTTAGTTCATAATCATGTGCTAAAGTTTTAGAAAGTTAATTAAGGTCTTAAAGTGTCATAAAACACATTATTTACATCTAAAATGGTATTTAATCATAAAATTAAGTATAAACCCTAAAATGCTCAAATACACAAATATTAACAATTCTTTCATATTTATGAAAGCCTTAACACTCCAAAGGATTAGAAATACACTACATTGATGTTTAAATCACAAAATAAAGATAATTTTTTAGCTACACTCCTTTCCTTTATGATTTGGATGAAATACCCCATTTTTCTTTAGCTAGTAATAACCCAAGAATTGAATCGTTAAAGCGATGTTGTTGGGTGGGATTAAAATTGAAGTATAAAAGTGGCTCAAGAACTTACATTTGTGCTATGGAACTTGAAGAGGAAGAAAAAAACGAAAAAATAAGAAGGAATGAAGAAAATGAAGAGAAGAAAGATATGGAAGAGATAAAAAGCCTTTATCTTTTAAAAAGGGTGAAATTATACATTTAATCCTTCCTCATCTTTCCACCATTCAAAAATCTCCTTCATATGACTAATTGGGCCCAATTCCAACCTAATTAAGCCCAACTCAATTTTACATTCGTAGATGACACTTGACTCTGATTTATGGTTATATGTGGTATTTCAATAGCTTACTCCCTTTTGTGGTTTTTTTGTTGATGCAATCAAATTTGTCCGTATCTATTTTTCGTTCGAGTCTTTCGACTGAATTTTTAACCTTTTCCATTTTATGGTACTTATATGATCTAAAGTGATTAGTTTAATGTTATAGGAAAATTTCCAAATTATATATTTAGATAGTGTAAACCCTTATTTTAATTTTGGACATTTCTAATTTTTAATAAGACTAACCACTTCTATTAAAAAAAAGTAAAATAGTCATCTATGTCGATTGGTTAAGTTGCTCATCTTTGTTCCTTCATATTCTCTTAGGTTATAGGTTTTAGACCATTAGGAGTATTTCCTTCATCTTCCTAGTGTTTTCTCTTCTTATCCCCTCTATGCAGAATTAGGATTAGATTTATAATTTGTCAAAAAATGATAATGAATTTTTTTTTCAAATGTTTAGTTTTTATTTATTCAAGAAACAATAGTATTTGTTTCGAATATAAATTAATTAATAATAAAAAATAAAAATAAGTTATATAAGTAACATGTGGGATTGAGGATAATGGTTATCACAATTATATATAAAATAGTGTTGAATAATATATGGAAAAGAAAAGTAAGAGGATATAAATTTACAGCAAAAGCCACATCCCTTCCTATCTTATTATATGAACGAAACATGCTGGCCTTTGCAACTTGTTGCAATAAAAAACAGCTTATAATATATATGTTTTATGGAAATATCAATGAAAGAAACAAAAGGCATTGGGGACGATGCGAGAAAATGGACTAGTAATGGTTGGTGGACCATATTAAGGAACAGTCCAAAATCTTTTTTTCTTAATGTTTTCACCTCTCATTTATTTTGCATTTATTGTTTAAATTCCTTTATAACTCTATTATCATATTTTGCTTTCAAGTTCTTGTTTTTTCTTTAATTTGAATTAACTTTATTTTTATCATATTTGGAGGATTAAAATTGGTTAAAATATATTAAAACAATCAAAATAGAAATTGACGATTTGTTGGGGGTTAAAAAGTGAAAAAGAAAAACGTAATTCAAACTTTTGTTTTTCTCAAATTTTTTATTGTTATTCAATCCAGTCCCTGATTGATTCGTGATTCCAGTTCCAGCTTTCAACTCAGAGAGAATATAAATAGAGAGAGAGAGAGAGAGCAGCAGGGAAGAGGGTGCGTAACAAGAGAACCGAAAAACCTCCAGAGGAAAGGGAGAAAGGCAAACCCTAGGAAATTCTTGGATTCCGATCTTGAATCATTAAAGATTTGCATTTCGAGATCTTAATTCTTCAAGATTCCAAAGGTAAGCTTTACAAATTTTTATATATTTATAAATTACAACTTCAGCAACATAAATTTTCCGTTTGTTTGTGTTTCAATCTGTTTTTAAATCTTCTAATATATTTATTTATCTTTTCAAGTCAAATTGAATTTGTTTTCATCTCACACATTGTGTAACATTTCCTTTTTATACCGAATACAGATTACCTAATCTTCAATGCTTAAGATTTTTTTAAAAAAAATTCATGAGCTGCATTTTGGCTTCTATTTGTCTTAGATTTTTTAGCCTGCCTTTCGGTTGTTCAGGAAATGTGGAAAACAATCAGAAGTCATAGTTTTAAGTATTCTATGCTTTGTTTAGCTTAGTCGCTGTTTTATTTGTTTATTTATTCATATTTTTATTATTTAGAACAAAATTTAATTAATTTTTTAAACGTTTCTTTTTATTTTTCCCTGTTTATGTAGAGGAACTAAAAATAATGCCAGAATCATTGTTCTAAGTAAACTATATCTGTTAATTTTAACAGATTTTGCTTTGCATTTTTCCTGTTTTGTTGGATGAACTTGAAGTGTATCGTTTAACTTAATGAATTAGGTTACTTAGATTTTGTTATGAGGGATGTCATGAACTCTTGATCTATTTTTTTCCTGTTTGTGAGGATTGTGCCGCTATTTCTTTTAGTACGACATGCTTTGCTACATAAGCAAAAGTGATCATTTTTCGGACACAATATGAATATGATTTCGTTAGATAGGTTTTCTTGTTTGATAGATTTTGGGAAACATTATTTTATGACACCATGTTTCAAGTTGTATGTTATTCCTTTTTTTAATGCACATTTTTTTAATTTGAACAATCAGAGTACCGATCTTTATAAAAGTTTCATGTAATGTTACAACCTTCTACCTACAATGTAAAAGCAAAGATTTCTTGTAACTGTAGTGTTTGTTTGGCCTTTTTTTGTTCTACTTGCATCTGAAGATATAGCAATTGGAACTAGGGACAAAATTGATTTTGATGTTAGATATCAAGTCATGTTGAAAGATATCGTTCATGAGTGGTTTACTGGTTTTCTTTTAAAAGGGAAAGGAAATATGTGATAGAATGTATACCTGTTATGCAATGCTGTGCACCAGACAAACTTTTTTATGTTAAGATCACCGTCTGCTATATAGCAATAGGTTTGGTACAAGGTACATTCTATTGTTTTCTTGATTTCCTTTGCTTAATGGAGGGCTTATTGTCCCTTGGTTTGTAAATTGAAATTGGCAGTCCCAACTCTTTTTTCTAATAATTTTATGTTTGGTTTTATTCTTATCCTAATTATTTATTTCATGGTCAGTCTTTCCTGTTCCCTGTACAGGAACTGGTTGATCTTGGCCATGGCGAATTCCAAGGGGTCAACAAATATAAGAAATTTGATGTTTGCTGGAAAGCATCCCCTACTTCCTCCTAAATGTCCATTTCCTACTGTCTCTTCAGCATATAATGATAATGCCCCCAACAATGTAATTGGATCAAAAGTGGTTCAAAAGCCCAGAGAGGGAAGTACATACCACCAGCGCACTTCCTCCGAAAGCTTTCTAATAGAGGAACAACCGTCTTGGCTTGATGATCTCCTTAATGAGCCAGAGACTCCTGTGCGCAGAGGAGGTCATCGACGATCATCGAGCGACTCTTATGCATACATCGATGTATCTAATGCTCCTAGCCTAGATTATGCAGCTCAGGATGATTATGGTTATAAAAATATGAATTCTGGACTTTCTTGGGCATCTCAGGACTTTGATCATCAACATCGCAAAGATTCTCTTCGTAACTCTTTCTATGCTGATGTGAACTTGGTAAAGCAAAATAATAGGGCTTGGGATTCATCTTTGAATGCTGTATCTCATCCAAGTGGGCTTCCTTCTCTTAGAGGAAACACATTTGTTCAGGGCTTAGGATCATGTGCACCACGAGAATTAGAAGGTGCACCAACAACAGGAAATGGAAAACAAGATTCTGCTAAATCTGTCCCTCTTGATGCAAAAGCTTCTTCTGAGAAAAAGGATAATTGTCATGCCAAGTCTTCTGCATCTTACAGTGACACAAAAAGAGCCAAGCAGTGAGTACCCATTTTTTGTTGTTCCGCAATTCAATGTAGTAATACTGTTGTGCTATATTGTGTTTTTCTGGTTGCGAGGCCTGCTATTGTTGTTGTTGCTTTTATTTTTGCCTGTGCTTGCATTGAGCAAAGTCCCACACAGCCGTTAATATCTTTTAAAAGGTACAGTTTATGAGCTCTGGGAATATTGATATTTTCTTATAATGCCCGCTAATGTTGTTAATAATTACTTTTTGCTTGTAATGATCAAATCGATAAGGAGTTTTTTAATTCCCAATGGAATTTAAAGATGATGCTAGGGTACGGATCTGCAGGTTCCCTAGGAATGATTGTATGGTTAGATGTTTCTTGCATTTGCATTCACCTTCTAGTTGTTTTGCATTTCTTGGCTTTTTACCTTGGCTACTTTGGCCGGAAATTCTACTGTTTTCTTTTTTCTGAGTGGAATTTATTACAGTCAAAAAAGGATAACATAAATACATTTTATTATGTTGTCTTTGTTCTCAATGGAATGCCATATTACTTTTGTTCCCTTTCTAATCTTTTTTTATGTGCCTGGTATTTAAGTTGATATATTCTTTTGTTTGTGAGTTGTGAATAGTGACTTTGATTTACTTTTTCTGTGTGATTCTTAAAACTTCTTAGTTGTTATACTAATGCCTACAGTGGTGGAAAATGTTTGATTACAATTCTTTGTTATTGTCTATTGCAGGCAGTTTGCTCAACGCTCAAGAGTGCGTAAACTTCAGTACATAGCTGAGCTGGAAAGAAATGTACAAGCTCTGCAGGCAAGTGCTCGTCTGAACTGAATATTTTTTAACATGTACTTACATTTGGAATTGGCTTGAGGTTATGAATGAGTATATATCTTATATTTTTTTAACATGTACTTAACAGGCTGAAGGATCTGAAGTTTCAGCTGAGCTTGAGTTTGTCAACCAACAGAATCTTATTCTTAGCATGGAGAACAAAGCTCTTTCGCAACGTTTAGAGAGTTTATCCCAAGAGCATGCTATCAAATATCGTAAGTGTCTTTACTCATTAGCTCTGAGGCTACGATTTAGTTTATTATGCTAATAAATGATATAAATGCCTTGTTGTGTTGTGTATGAGAGGAGTTAAGGTATGTAATGGCTCATGAGCAAATCAATTTCACTTGTTTTACCTTCATGTTAGGAGGGAAAATATAGGGTGTGCATGGTCCTGTCTTATTCTTTTGGTTGGGAATGTGATTTTCTGGTTTCCTTGGGGGAACAAGCTCCCTTAACAGTGCATTAGGTCTTTTAAAAGCATGGATTGTTATGGAGAAAACACCAATGTGTCTAATAGGCCATCATTGATCTGTCCTGTGACGAACATTAATTATTTTATTTGGTTAAAACAAAATTTTATAGAAGGAAAACTAAATCATGCAATCACTTTGCACAGTTGAGCAGGAAGTATTGGAGAGGGAGCTTGGTAGGCTACGAGGCTTGTACCAGCAGCAGCAGCAGCTAAAGCATCCATCTTCAAGCCATCGTCGCTCGAGCAGTAGAGATATTGATTCCCAATTTGCAAACCTATCTCTGAAAGAGAAGGATACCAGTTCCAGTCATGGCACTGTCACTGGTCCACTCCGCATTTAAATATCTAATCTAGCCAGAGCTTTTTGCGCCACTACTTAAATGGGTGCTGCCATGCTGACCAATTTGTTGTTTTCACATACCCTTTGCGCGGGATAAAAGCCAAGTCCATCAAGTCTTGGTTCCCTCCCTCTGCCTGATCTTGTTATTTTCCATCATAACTTACCCTTTTATTTTCCTTTCAGCCAATTAAATATCGATGTGCACCTGGTAGTCGCTGCCAGAAAATTCGATTTCTGGCGCATGATTCACCTGAGGTGGTAAACATAAGGGCAGGTTCTCCCTCCCCCACCCGGTCCTGTCCGTTAATCAGTGGTTATTATGATTTTGAAATTTTACTTGTTCTCCATTCTGAGTATCCACCCACTGGTTCCCACCTTATACTGCAGAGACCGTTAGGCTGTTTAGATGTGCATTATATATGATGCATAATGGCAGGAAAATATTTATTGTACAATGCTTTCAATCAAATCTATGCCATATTTCTGGGTTCTATTGGTTATAATTATTTGCGTGGTTTTCCCTCTTATACTTGAAAATAGTTTGGTGTTTGCAGGTTTGCAATCAAGGAGCTTCCCTCCCTCCCCACCTTTCCCCTTGCCTCTTGGCATTATGAGGGGTTACTTTTATTTTTTATTTCAATGGGAGCAAGCATTACTAATTACAGAACTACTTGGGGGAACAGGAGGGAAGGGTTTTCACACACGTTTGAATTTTGAACTCTAGCACTAGTGTCAACATGATTGAAATCCCACAACTTTTATTAGTTTTCTTATGGAAAAGAGTAGTTGAAATAAGGTTCAATTACTCTATTTGTTCTTTTACTAACTTGAGCTATATTATAGTGCGTTGTTGTCATTACTAGCCTTCCTAGAGTGCAAATCCCTTGACAGCTCATGTACGTTTCTTCCTCTGACCCAATGTGACTAATTCAGTTACTTTTTGTGGGGTAGAGGTTGATAATGCCAACTTGGAAGGAAATTATATGTGAAAGAAAGAAAGAGAGAGATGCTAGTGCATCCAGGCTGGCCAAGTGGTCACCCCTTGCCCCACAACCATTATTGAGCTGTAAGGACGTTAACCCACGATCACAATTCACACCCTTCTGGCTGTAAGATTATTATTGGATATCTAGGTGGTGCTTTTTTTCATCCTAATTCCACTCCACTAGCATGGAATAATTTTTATAAATTTTAAAAAAAATACGTTTGGGATATAAGATAGAGTTTCGTTGATATGCAAAGTGAGTTGGCAATTTAAGACGGTTCATCTAACAAAGTAAATCCTTGGGAGGGGCTTTACCTTAGATTTCAAATAGTAATGCCTTTACTTTTTGGGTTGCTATAAATATTTTTTAATACTAAATCCGTTGAAATATTACATTATTAGTCAGAATAAATGTTTATTCTCTCTATCGTAATTACTGTCTCTTATACAATAATAAAAAATTCTCTTTAACTTAACTCATTAAGTAGCCTCAATTATTAAAATGAATATTATTTTCTCTCAAGATCTTGTGTTCGAGCAAGTGTTCGAGCAATTGTCATAGTGTATCATGTTATAAATGATTTAAAAATTTTATGATTAAATATTACATCGTAAACATCTCACACTTTTTAAAAAAAAAAATTCTTTAACTCTTTTCTTCTCTTATTTTAAACCTGGGGTGCCGCTTCCTAACGGTCTTGACGTCATGTGATGTGGCTGGACTCGAGCCCTTCCATTTTATCCCTTCACCTGTTGTTGGCACTACGGTTTTTTGGCCCAATAGGCCACTTGGCATTTTTATCTAACCCAATAGGGTATTTTTTTTATTTTGGAGAATACGGTAAAAGCTATAGTGATTTATGAACTCGTTACCTCGAAGTGACAAGTTCTATGACATATATTATTTTAATGGACCTGGATAAGTGGATCATACGTGGGCCATTTATTTATTGAAATTAAATCGACTCGTCATCTCAACGTGATAAGCCCGTTTAAAAAATTAATAAAAGTTGTAAAAATTAATTTTAATGTTAAAAATGAAAAAAAACAAAAAAAAACAGAACTCATCACCTCGAGGTAACGAGTTCCTTTGAATAGGCCTGTAAATGAACTGAACGTTCAGCGAACCGTTCATGAACCGTGCGGCGGGAAGTTCGTTTATGTTCGTTTATTTATTAAATGAACGAACATGAACAAGATTTTGCGTTCGTTTAATTAAATGAATGAACATGAACAAATTGCTCGTTTGTTCATTTACGTTCGTGAACGTTCGATTATATGTTCGTTCATTTATGTTCATTTATGTTTGAACAGAGGGCAAGTTGAATATGTTACAAAGATTATTGAAGTTGTTTGGATTTCAAGAAGATTGTTTTGTTGAACAAATTAACTTTAAAATTTTATTATGTTCATATAGCTTATTTATGATTTATGTATTTTTTGTCGTATTCGAACAAATTAACTCTGAAGTTGCAGGTTATATTAATGAATTTTAAGTTGTTATTCTTGTTGTTTACTTTTTTTTTACATTCGTTTGTTGTGTTCGGATAAGTTTTTTTTTGTGTTTGTGTTGTTCGTTTATGTTCGTTTATGATCGTTTATTTATTTAAATGAACGAACATGAACAAGCTATATTCCTTAATTAACGAACATGAACAAAAAAAAATTGTTCGTTTATGTTTGTGTTTTTATTTATTTATTAAATGAACGAATATGAACATACCTCCGTTCGTGTGCGTTCGGTTCGTTTACAGGCCTACCTTTGAATTCAAAAAAAGTAGTCGTTGTTCAACGTTAGGGGTGTTCAAAATTCGGTTTTAACCGAATTAACCGATCGAACCGAATTAGTTCGGTTAATTCGGTCGGCCACCGAATTATTTCGGTCGGGGAACTGTTAAGGATTTTTTGGAATTCGGTTAACGGTTAATTCGGTTCGAAATCGGTTAATTAACCGAATTAACATTTAAATATAATTATATTAAGATACTTAGCCGACCCAATCTATTTAAAACCCAAATCAATATTAATTAATTAAAATAATCTCAAAACTAAATGCAAAATGTTTGAATCAAATTAATTAGATATTATTTAAATTAATTGTAAATTATTTTTTAATTAAAAAAATATTAAATTCTAAAGAATTTCGGTTAATTAAAAAATTAACCGAATTAAACGAAATTTATTCGGTTCGGTTAATACTTTCAAAAAAAAAAGTTCGGTTCGATTAACGGTTAAAGAAAAAAAGTTTGGTTAATTCGGTTAAGGGTATTTCGGTTCGATTGGTCACCGTTTTAACCGAATGAACACCCCTAGTTAACGTGCAACGGTAACTGTCACATGACAATGATTTATAGTCGTTTATAGCTGTTGGAATTGATGTTACAAATTGGGGTTTGGGTTTAGATTTTTTTACCATCTATTGTTATGAAAAAAATTAAGAAAAATTCTTACTTTCTAAACCCCTGAAAAATGGCTTCCCGAGAAGAAATGTTACGCCTCGATATTGTTCATATTTCGTCGATCGAACTCTTCCCGAAAGAAGAATGGAGCATTCGTCAGCGCAGGATAACATCGAGAGATTCGCATAAGCGGATGATGATATATCTTTAGCAATCTGGTCTATATCCAACCATATTTTTACGTTGATTTCGGCTCTAATTGAACGTTAGAGGCCCGAGACGCACACTTTCCATTTCCTGAGTGGTGAAACGACGATTTCTTTTGAAGACGTCGCTTACTAACTCGATGTTTTTGTTAATGGTGTTGTCATCGTCAAGCGGAACGATTATGACCCATCACTTTGGTCTACGAAGTTTTGGGAAGGACGACTCTACCAAGGAGGAGGTTATTTTTACATCCTGAGTGTAGACACCCGTTTTTGTCTGGGTCTACAAAAATATTATTATTATTATTATTACATTTTACACTTTTTTGTAGGCTTAAACCTGAAGCCCAATTCAACCTCAAAGCCCATTACTACTACTCAACAGCCCAGTTTACAAGAACCGATTCGCAATGACTACAAGATCATCCGATTAGAGCCCAACAACACTCAACCCGACCCAAAACTCGATTAGGGTTTCTCTAGCTTCTGCCATTATCATCGCTGATGCCATCCACTGACGCCACCGCTTCAGTCTGTAATGAAGAGAAGTCTATCAATAGTCAGAAAAAAAAACAGACAAGAAAAATGAAAATAATTCTTATCATAAGAAATTAGGGTATCATTACCCTAATGACTCCATCATTATCACCAAAAAGTCATCATAAATCAAAGCATGGAGAAGATAAAGAGGCAGAGGAGAGATATCAGAAAAAAAAGACCGTTCGGGTAGAGAGAAAAAAAAAGATAACAAAGAAAAAAGAGAAACCCATCAACTTATTCGAACCCAAAGTAGAAAAAAACCGAGAGGAAAGTCTAAGATCCGTCAACAACAAAAATAAAAAATACCAAAGAGCGAATGAGAGAACCCTTACCTTCGTCAGTGGAGCGTCGAAAAGCCCATGGGTCGTCAGGGTTGCATGGTAATCGAAAGGTAATGGCCTAGATCTACGGTCCAAGGGTATTTTTAGGTTAAACTAGTTTGGGATTCGGACTAAGGGCGAAGAGGAAAGGCTTTTGGGATGTTTGGCTCTCTCCGGCTGGCGGCGGCCCGTTGAGAGAGTTAAGAGAACTCTCTCCTTCTCCCTCTTCTGGTTTCAGGTGAGGCGAAGCAAATGGGAGGGTTGAGCCCATTTTGGGCTTAAGTGATATATATATATATATATATACACACACAACCAAAACGACACCTTTTAGGTCTAGGGGTTCAACGTGTTTTTCATTTTAAGGGATAATATCAGCTTTAGTCCATGCCTTTTGTAATTTCACCTATTTTTTGTCATATTTTTTTAGGGTAAATAACATTTTAGGTCCTCACCTGTTTGTATTATATTATTTTGGTAATTAATGAAATCTTGTGATATTACTTTGGGCACTTAGTTTTCTATATTTAAGTTTTAGTCACTAATGTCGTGTGTTATATACTTTCTTTAATGTTTGACTTTGGCTATGGTATTTGTAATAGTTGCATTTTAGTCACTAGTTTTGTGTGTTTGGTATTTTGGATGCTGTTCGAATTTGACCCTGTGATTTATGCATTTTTTCATTTTAGTCATTGTCTTACATTTGGTTTAATTATTATTTAGTCCAGCATGTTTATGGTGTAATTTATTTTAGTCCCCATGTTATTAATGGGTTATTTACATTTCTAGTACCTGTAGTATTTAATATTTTCGATTGGAGCTCTAATTTGTTCATAATTATTGTTTAGTCCTTCAACTTTATATTTTTCTATTTTAGTCCTTTAAATTTCTATTTTTTTCTATTTTGGTCCTCAAGTTTCTATTAATACTATTTTGGTCCTTTAATTTTTTTATTGTTTTGTTTTAATCCCTTATGAATGTATATATTTAACATGTTGTATATTTTTAGGTATAACATTAAACAAATGTTATTATTTTATGTTGTAAATAATT